ATAAGGTCACAAATACGCAATGGGTAGGCACTCGTCAATGTGTGAGGTGTTTGAGTACTGATATAAATAACATAGTCAACCCAAATATTTATTATTGGATAAATGACAGCATATGGACAAAAATATATACAGTTTTACCCTAGAAAACAACTACCTCAGTCATTAAATAATACTATTTAAATAGAAAAATATAGCTTTATACTATTGTTTATCGTTTATGAAAAAGAAACAAAAGATCTAGCAACTGACTATATTAAAAGATAAAGATTTTATCTTGAGGTTAAAGGCTAATTCTCTGGTAGAAAGAATAAAAACATACAAATGTTAATATAGCTTGCAAATTTGCTAGGTACAAATATTGGCAATTGTTTTCTCCCTAAATCATGAATTCTCTGTGGATTTTATTTTGAAATAGGTATTTCTGCTATAAGTCTGATAAATGATATTCCAACTCTAAAGAGCAAGCAACTAGAATGCCACATTTTTGATGCATATTTTTGCAGCACAGAGGGGATTAAATTCTAAATGTCTCAGCTGTTAAAGGCCCCTTCAGACTTGCCCAAAATGAGGAACAAAGAAGGAGAGAGCTTTCCCTAAAGCAATTCATCAGATCTATTTGGGCACAGTGACATTCTATCAGAGCTTGTGTGGTTAAGTTGCACTGAGTGGTTCAAGGGTGTGCAGCTGCTTGGAATATTTGAGGAAAAGATATCTCCAAGTTTTCTTCATGCATTCACATGGGCTGGCCAATTCTTACCAACTGGCTAATGGCCAAGAAGGCTCTGACAGTTAGTAGTTACATCATCATAATAACATCTCCCATTTTTGAGTGCTCCCTGTGTGCCAGAACTGGGCTCTGCATTTTGCACCTGTTGTGTCATTTAAAAGCTGATACTTCTTCCTTTTTTTTTAAATAGGCTCCATGCCAAAGGCAGAGCTTGAACCCATGACTCTGAGATTGAAAGTCACATGTTCTACATTGAGCCAGCCAGATGCCCCTAACATTCATACTTCTTATCTTAAAGGAATGACCTATTAAATGTAATGCCAGTTTTTGCAGTATGAAGAGTTTGTCAGAGTGAGTTTTACACATTATAAACTTGATGAGTACTTACTGTTGTTTTTTCTCACCTAGTTGCTGGCTGTTGGATCTAGGAGAGGCTCTGATTACTTCAGCAGGGCAGCAGTGATCACTTCCATACACAGACTGTTAGACATAGAACACATATAAAAAAGTCTTCTCCTTGTCTGAGTGTTGATGGACTTGAAACAATTGCTAGAACAAGCCACTGATGGAATAAACTTAAGTTACTGGAAACAAGGCAACGTGGATGGCAATTTCAAATAAGATGTGAAGAATATTTAGAATTATAAAGCATAGCACTTTTATGCATTTATCCTTTCATTGTCCTAATGTTAAGATGGATGGGGCAGATAATTGCATCTGACTGCGTGTATCTGGCTTACTATATTTTGTGTTATGGTTTGCACCCTGTCTGCTTCCCTACCATCATCTTCCCCCACATACAGTCTGTGTGTTCTTTTTACCAAGAGATTTGCAAATTTCTGACCAATTTAAGGCCTTAGTCTATGCTGTTCCCTCTGCTGGAATGCCCTTCCTATCTCCACTTGTCTAACTCCTCCTCATTCTTCAGGACTCCATTTGAATACTGCCTCCCCAAACAAGCATTCCCTGAATTGTCCCACCCACAACCCTTCCCACTTCCTCTGGGCTGGCGCAGTGCCCTGTGTGTACCTCCACTGCCTCATTTGATAGGTGACATTACACATTTCTGTTTACTTGCCAGCTGCTCTAAGGTGTATCTCTCTGGAAGCTTGAAGCATGGTCTGTCTTTTATGGTTTTATTTCTCCTTTTCAGCACCTCACCAAATCTACACAGAATATGGGCCCAATGAGTGCATGTGACTTGAAGGAATAAATACATATTTATTCATATATATCATACACATTTGTATTTTGTTACTTCCCCAACTCCGCATCGCTCCCCCCCCCCCACACACACACATTCTCACTGCCTTCTGGTGTGGTAGACTTTAAAAAGCCTCATCCACGGTTTTTATTGTAATTGCTAAAGCTCAAGGTCACAATTTGGCAGGAATGACTGCTAGAAGGATGCACATCAATGCTGTGTCCTGCTGTCCTTGCTGTCTGGAGTACAGGATGTGTTTGAAATTATACCTTTTCTAGTGAAATTTCAGGGTGGTTTTATATCAGCACTATGAGAATGCTTTCATGTTAAATAAGAATGTTGAAACAGAAAGAAAGGCAAAGAATCAGGTCCAGGCAAAGCCTGAGCTATGAAAGGAACACCTCTGCCCACCACAGAATATGATTCCAGGTCAAGCACAGAGGAGTCTGTCTGGCTTCCACTCTCCATTTGCCCCCCTTATCCTCTCTGTGCTCATTACTTGGTTCCCTTTGATGAAACATGGGAGGCAGACAGGGATTACTAGGGAGCAGGCTTTTACAACTGTGATCTCGTTCCATTTTGAAGTTGCTCTCAAAATGGTTGATTTATTTTCCTCTCATGTATGCATTATGTATGTGTGGCTATGCGAGATCTGTGAATTCAGAAAGGCCCTCTGTACCTTTGTCCCCAAACCCCCATCCATGCAATGTAGTGCAGCAACCAGTAGAACCAGAGAGCCACGCAGGGCTTTGGAATAGACAAAGACACAAATCCCATCTGGGTCTCCTTCAAAGGAAACTGCTGTTTTGCAACAAGCTACCGGATGGCGATAAAAAAGGTTCTTACCTGTTTACTTAATGGGTGACTGGCCCCTTTGCTTTTATTTAGCCATCTGTTCTGGTCTATGTCCCTTTAAACTTGTAAGATCCATCACCTCATTTAAGCTGTTACCTTGACACATTGCAATGTTGTGGACATAATGATTCCACAGAGGAGCAAATTAAAACAGTTTTTCATGATTAGAAGGTTAAATGAGGTAAGCCTGTGGTAGTTAGTGGTGAGATAAGGGGTTTTGAGGAGGCAGAACTCAAGGGACTTGCAGGTGATTGGAAAATTAGGCTGGCTAGACAGAAGGACGGGGCTTTTACGAATTATGGAGCTGAGCAAGAGCTAAGACTTCCTTTGGGGTCTCTGACTTCTGGGGGCTTTAGTCTCCTGTCCTTGCAGAGACTGTGATCATGGCCAGGGAGGAACAGGGGCCGGCTTTGGGTTTCTTTTCTACTTTGGGACATTCTGTGAAGAGCAAAACGAAGTTTATTCACTAAGAAGTGATAAGCTGGAAACACAACAACATACATCAGGTCATTCCTGGATAGTTATTTGGCTTCCCTTAAGTTTGAAGAAGAATTGAGGGCCAATCCCAGCTTTGTGGAGGAATCTCTGATTGTGTCTTCACCCTGGACTTCAAGGCATGGCTGTTCCTGACATCTGCCCTCTGCCCTGCTCTTTCTTCTTGCTCTAGACCTGACCCTCCACCTGACTCCTGGATGGCTCCATTCAGGTGACCCACCATCTGGATAAAAACTAGGACTTAGGAAGCCCAGGGTTTTTAAATCATTTCGTACCCTTCTAAATCATTTCTTACTCTGACCACTCTGGTTTCTCCTAATATGACCAGTATTCTTGTAGTAACCTGGACTCAAAATTCTCCATCTCACCTCTATCCAATCAGGAGCCATGTTCTCTGCTTACCACCTACGTTGAGTTTCTCATATTTTTTCTACCTTTGTACTCCCCTTGCCACTGCTCTAGTTTCCATCCCTCATTACTTTGGTCCTAGCCAGTCAGAATAGCCTCCTAACTCATTGCTGTCTGTCTTTAGTTCCTCCCTGCTTCAAAACATTTTAAACAGTGACGTTTGATTATAACTTATAGCAGTTATAATTATAATTATAATTAAACAAGCAACAAACAAAACCTCCTTTGGTTTTCTATCACCTACCACCCTCGATAGACTTCTCAGCTTGGTGTTGTAGGCAGTCCCTAAAGTTATCATTTGTTGTTTCCAGCCTTTCCTCATCCTCTGTGCCCCAGGAAGACAAAGTTCTGTGTAGCTATGAATCACCCCATGTTTTCTTGCCTCCTTGCTGTCTTCCCTCTACCTAGAAAGCTTCACTCACATATCTCTACTGATTAAAATTCATGCATTTTATCCAGCTCAATCTCAAATACATCTCTGCTTTCCCCACCCCAGTCAGATGCATTTGCTCTCGTTCTTGTTCCATGGCAACCCATTAAGGGGGATGTTCTTAAGCTGCTTCGCATGGATTTTTTTCCTACTTTTATTGTTAGCTTTTTGAGTCTTAACTTTTGCATAGCCTTTCACAGCACAGGCAGCTTCCTGCCTGTAGCGGGTGCTAGATATAGAAATAAAGTAATTGCTGATAATTTGTCTACAAGGATGGGAAAAATCCATTTATTCATTCACTCAAATGTTTCGTGGGTGCCTACAATATGTAAGGCAGTGTGTTATGGACCTGGGATCCAGAGATCAGTGTAACAGTATATTCTGGTTCTCTAGGAACTCGCAATTAGATGGAGGAAAAGTCATATAAATAATTATGCAGTGAAAACTGTGCAACCATAGACGTGCCTTCAAGGTATGGGAGTGCAGGACTCTGTTAGGTTAGACAGGTTGGGGTGAAGGGATGGTGGTGGGAGGGAATGCAGCAGTTAGGAAGGGTTTCCTACAGTTGGGAATGTCTGATTTGCGTTTCGAAAATTGAATAGAAGTTGTCGAGGAATGTGGGGAAGTAAGGAAGGGTAGGAATGGAATGGAAAGATAATCTAAGAAGGCTTCTCTGCTTGTTCTCAGAGGCTGGCTAAAGCAAACTGGTCACCAAATGATTAAATTCTGTCTCCAAATGAAATCTCCTAAATGACACAGTCCTTTTATCCCTTTGAAAGAAAAAGAGAGGGAGATAAAGGAATCTCCCTCTGTGACTACTTTTGGTTGATAATCATTCATTCATTCATTCACTCATTCTTCTTCTTTTTAATGTCTTGTAGAGGAAGTCTATGATTGCAGTGAGCTTCATAGCAGCGTTCCTCTTCCTGCTGGTTGTGCGCCTTGTAAATGAAGTGAATTTCCCACTGCTGCTAAACTGCTTTGGACAGCCTGGCACAAAATGGATACCATTCTCCTACACATATAGGCGGCCCCTTCGAACTCACTATGGATACATAAATGTGAGAACACAAGAGGTAAGACCTCAGAGGGTTTCCTAGGATTTGTGGATATCCATGGTAACAGTTTTTCTTTAGGAGCAAGATGGTTTCCAATCACTGAACTTACTCCCTCTGCCTCTTCAAGCTTCTTTGGGTCCCTGACATCTTCTGTTTTCTCATTCTTAGACACTGTGACATACACATGTCTAATGTCTGCTGCCCCTCCTACATCAAATCTTCTGATTGTCTAGCTTCATGTGGAGTTGAGGAGGCAATTACTTGTTTTCCTGGTGTTTTAACATCCATCTCTTTCTATTGCAAAACTCTGGTCAGCAATTACCAGCTGGAGAACTGGCTGGCTTTATTTCCTGGAGGTCAACTTGTTGGGGACAGCTCTTTGTAGAACGGCAGAGAAGCATTTATATTCTTTAAAACTCTGTAATCCTTAGACCTGGAGCTAGAAAGGCCAAGCTGATTTTAAAATTCTCCGTGGTTGCCGAGATAATGGGATTTAAAGAGTTGCCAAATTTAAAGGGGTTAACATCATTTAAATCCTGTAATCACTGAACCTCTAAATCTTTGTAGCCAGTTGGTAGCACAGGAGAGGATGGAGGTATATGGACAACTAGAAAGTATGCTACACTTTTCTAGTAGCACTTTTGCAAGCCAAGATTTGCATTTTAGAGCGAAGGAAAGAATTTGCATTTTAGAGCAAAGTAAAGAATCTCCAAAATGTGTGAAGTATATAGAAGTGGTTAATGACATTGTTTTTACTATTTGTTTCTATGGAGTGCGGTAAATATGAGGTTACTATTCCTAGATGCAGAGTCCAAGCCCGTTTGATTGTTGGTGACAAGGGTACAAGTCATCAGTATGTCTATGTCACTGGGAAGAGTTTTGGATCAGATCCCATCGACAGGTCATTTTGTAAAAATACTAGAGAGGAGGGGCTCCTGGGTGGCTCTGTGGGTTAAGCGTCCAACTTCGGCCCAGGTCGTGATCTCGCAGTTCTTGGGTTTGAGCCCCGCGTCGGGATCTGTGCTAACAGCTCAGAGCCTGGAGCCTGCTTCGCATTCTGTGTCTCCTTCTCTCTCTGTTCCTCCCCTGCTCATGCTCTGTCTCTGTCTCTCTCTCTCTCAAAAATAAATAAAGGTTAAAAAAAATTTAAAAAAAATACTAGAGAGGAAACTTAGGTGTAGAATGCTGCTACTGTCCTGAGAGTTATTCTTAGCATCCGGGGAGGGACACTGAATGCTGGCTTGGTCTGTCGTCTTGTGTAGGCAATATCATACCTGAGTCACTGCTTCTGGCTAATTTGATTCTTTGAAAATTGTTTCTGTATCTGCAGGGTTTACAGGCTTTTTATTAGACCTTTATAGTAAAAAGAAAAAGGCACCATTAATAACATATAAATTCTTAGGAGTTTTGCTTGATGTTTAACCTTTAATTGGTTTTAAATCAATTTTTTAAAAAGTGTCCATTGTTTGAATTTGTTGAGTGTCCTAATAAATCGATTACCTATATAAAAATGTATCTCTTAGAGAATAGTTTGTGTCACTCTTGTCTTTTCGTACTTTCAATTTTGGCTGTCATTGAATATTCTATAACTACTGGATTGTGTTGGTCATTTCACAGGTGCCTATCACAGGTAGAAAATGAAACATGTGAAAAAAGTGTCTTATGAATTACTCTTGTGAGGGAAATCCCACCAAATGTTAAAGACCCTTTCATTTATCCAAATATTAATGGATTCGGGACACCTGCGTGGCTCAGTTTAGCATCCAACTTTTGATTTTAGCTGGGGTCATGATCTCAAGGTTGTAAGATTGAACCCCATGTCGAGCTCCACCTGAGCATGGATCCTGCTTAAGATTCTGTCTCCCGGGGCGCCTGGGTGGTTCAGTCGGTTGAGCGTCTGACTTCAGCTCAGGTCATGATGTCACGGTCTGTGGGTTCAAGCCCCATGTCAGGCTCTGTGCTGACAGCTCAGAGCCTGGAGCCTGCTTCAGATTCTGGCTCCCTCTCTCTTTGCCCCTCCCCCTGCCCATGCTCTGTCTCTCTCTCTCTCTCTCTCTCTCTCTCTCTCTCTCTCTCTCTCTGTCAAAATAAATAAACATTAAAAAAAAAATTAAAAAAAGAAAAAAGTTCTCTCTCTCCCTCTCTCTCTGTCCCTTCCCTGCTCCTGCACGGGCATGTGCACACACTCTTTCTCTTATCAATTGTTGTGCTATATATATATATATATATATATATGTATATATCTGTATATATATATATTTATATATACATATATATATAAAATAAACAGATATATACATATATATATTGGATTTTGGACTGTTACTGGAAAACTGACCTGAGGATGCAGTTATTTAATTAACCACATCAACCAGGCTACCCTTTGAAATTCTGTTGGTATAGTTTTTATTTTTTTAATTTATTTTATTTTATTTATTTAGTTTTGAGAGACAGAGGGGGGCAAAGGGAAATCTTAAGCAGCCTCCACACCCAGCACAGAGCCACACGCGGGGCTCGATCTCATGACCGTGAAATCATGATTGAGCCAAAATCAAGAGTCAACACTTAACCAACCGAGCCACCCAGGCACCCCTGTTGGTATTAGTTTTTTAATACAATGACTTTACTAAAGGATATTGATCATTTATTTTGCTCCTGCAGAGGTTCTATCTTGGGAGGAAGCATAGTTACTGGAAAGAGTTTTTAAGCCTTGGGGGCACACAGGCATGGTTTATGTGCCAGTTCTGACATGCAGAAAGTAAGCATGACAACATCAACTAGCTAAGTTATTATAAATGCCAGATTGGTAGAAAAATTAAGAATCTGACAATAGCAGATGTTGGTGAGGTATAGAACGACAGGAATTCTTATGTACTGCTAGGGGCAATATAAATTGGAACAGCCACTTTGGGAAAAAGTTTCCTGTTCTTGAGAAAAGTTGAAGATCTGCACACACCATGCCCCAGTGTTTCCAGTCATTGATGTACCCAGGGGAGACACTCATGAGCATAGGCACCAGGAGGCATGGACCACGTGTGGGGGCAGCATTATTCATGACAGCTAGAACCTGGTAGCAACCGAAATGTCTCTCTGTAGGACAATGGCTTAAAATCGCTCTGCATACCCTGGAATACCACACGGCAACAGCAATGATGGAACTGCAGCTACGTGTGACACTAGGGGTGAATCTTGCACAAGTAATTTTGAGCAAAAATGCAAGAATAATAGAATACAGAGTGTGATTCCATTTATAGATCACAAGAAAAGGCAAAACTAAATGATGATGCCTAGGGACATATATAGGAGATAAAACTACAAAGGAAAAAAAAAGGTAAGGAGATTATCATTGTGGAAATGAGAAGAGCAGTTACCTCTGAGAGAGAGACAGACAGTTTGTGATCAGTGTGGGTTGCTGGGATGTTTACAGTATCCTGTCTTTCGATCCAGTTGGAAGTTACGTGGGTGTTCACATTATAATTATTTATTAAGTATGCGTTCATGTTGTTTAATTTTTATGCATTTCTATTTCATATTAAAAATTAAAAATATATTCTGAGCCCAGGTAGGATATTTATTGACCAAGAAACACACAGAGCACCTCACCTAATGTACAGCAAGAAGTAACTGAAAAGAAGCATTAGGGCATTAAGCTATCTAAAACAAGAAATATTTGAAATAGGCAATTTCATCTTATGTAAAGACAAACAGATAATATGGGTAACTTACGTGCATGGTAGACAGGGAAGTTCCATATTGTAACATGAGAGCAGGTGATGAACAGAAAATTTTGCATGGATGTTGAAATATAATAACATCCAAAGAGAATGACAGATTTTCCTCCAAACTCAAACAATTTTAGGCTACATTGGGAGGAAAACAAAATTTTGTGGTTCCCTACCTCCTTTTTCATGATTTCATCTTTCCTTCTCACAATTCCACCCCACCCTCATCCCCATGTCTGGGCTTCAGTCTTACTCCCCGATGCTCTGTATTCTGGTCCTCACCAAATAATGATTTCAGATGCAATCCTTCCCAGAGATGGTTGCATTTAAATAAGGCTTACATTACATAAAGGAAGAAAAAGTCTTCAAGAACCAAAGTAACATAGCTTAAATGGTGGGTGGTACACTTGATGTTACTGTGCAAACAGCTTCAATAGTGACCCTCAAACCTTGCTTCAAAGGTAGCTACATACTCCTATGTTCCTGATCACTCTACTTTAATCTGGAGGAGGGTCAATAGCCATGGCTTAGCTAAGTAAGTAGTCACCAAGCTGATGTGTTTATTTTTAATATCTTGGTCCTTGAGATTTTCTCAGAAGAAAGTACAAGCTTTCTAGAAGCCACCAGACTTCCAAGAATTTTTAAACATGTAGACATGCCAGCAATAATTTCCAGACCTAGAACATCTGCAAACATGATTATTGTTAATGATGGCTTTATTGCCTGATGCTTTAGCTGGACCAGACATCGCTGCCATTAAACAAAAGTTTTATGAGTGAAAGTGTTTACAAGAAAGAATATCTCTCCAATACTGTCTAAAACAATGAGGGGGTGGGATGGCAGAATTTGAAGATTTAGTGGACATTGGGGAGAGCGGGATTACTTGGGAGCAAAATCTGATTCTTTGGTTATGTTTAAAATAAGATGAACTCTGGTCCCTTTGGCTTGGCACAAGTAGAAGTATAGGCAGTCTTATAAATCTGTGACAGCCTGTCCTGAAGGCCTCACAGAGAATAAATTTTACTCTTTTCAAGCTTGGATTAATGTTACCAATTCACCTCGTTCTTAAATGACCTATTCTCAAGGGAAGTACAAGAGGTAAAAGTACAAGGAATACAGGAAAGGTAACCAGGTGGACTTGCTTATATTTTATTTTTATTTCTTTTTAAGGTTATTTATTTATTTTGAGAGAGCATGTGTGCAAGCGAGGGAGGGGCAGGGAGTGAGGGAGAGAGAGAATCCCAAGCAGGCTCTGCACTGTTAGCACAGAGCCCCATGTAGGGCTTGATCCCTCGA